TTAGCAAGAGTAGAATCTATTCACTGTAGCTCCTATGATCTAAACAAAAACAGGGGAAGAAAATAAACAACATGTGGTCTAACCAATGGTGTGGTAGTTAAGGCAACTGGATCCCAGATGGCCGACTGCACAATTGAAATCACAGAACTGGTGACTTGAAAAAGATGCCAGACTTGTGTGTGTGCCCAAATTCCTGGCGAGAAAGAAAGAGTGGAGAAGTCACTCCTCAGGGGGGATAATCGTATTGCTTCTCCATTCTCCTTCTGGGATTTTGAGCACACATGCACATGCGCCCAGCCACTGGGTCCAGGACTCAAACCACACAGTCAGCCATGTGGAATCCAGCTGCTTTAAACACCACACCACCAGCTGGCTCTGGGCCAATCTTTTATTCCTTTATTTTCCTTAATGACAAACTGAGGCCTGGGGAAGTAGAACACTGCACACAAAGTAAAAATTAATTCCTACTAGTCTGCAATTGCTTCTCTTGCTTTCTATGAGCAGTGGAGGTGAAGAGGGAAATTCAGCCTCTAGGCAGCAAGGAAGGCATCCATTCCTCCACACCAGGAGAAATTCTGACAAGATTCTTCAACTTGAGCAGACCTTCAAGTACTGCTAGCATAATCCATAATCTAACTCTACTAAAGGGGTGGGGGACCAGGGAATCTGGCACCAGAAGATAAAGAATAAAGCTCTCAGGTTTTATGATCTTATCCCCCGGATCTCCTTGCCCAAGATGTCATATCTATTCCCAAGAAAGGTGCTACCCCTATCACAAGTCCGAAGCAGCACCAAAAGAAGATCCCTTTGGAAAATGAGATTGAATTTTGCTCTTGTATCTACAAAGGGGTAGAACCGCCACCAAGGGTACATAAGGTAATCATTCTCTCAACAAGTGTCTGTAAATAGGGACACTCTGTCTTTGTCTGAGAATGCTTTTATTTTATCCTTACTCTCAAATCATAACCAGTCTAGCTGGGTATAAAACTTTAGATGACCAGTAATTTTTCTTTATCACTGTATTCCATTGTCTTCTGGCTTTTTATAGCTGTTGAAAGGTCTACTGTCAGTTAAAATGCCATTCCTTGGCATATCAATCCATGCCTTCTCTTTGGTTGCATTAGAAATTTTTCTCCTTATTTTTGATGGCTACCAATATGTTTGGGAATAGATTTTTGTTAATCCTACTTAGGACTTACATTTTTTGAATCTAAGGATACTTGTCTTTCCTTAAATATGGAAAATTCTCAGATACTATCTTTTCAAATATTCCTTTACCTCAATTTTTGCATTCCTGTTTTTTGCCTAGTTTAAGTTCCCCTGAAAGCAGAGCTTCAGAGAAAGATTGAAGTTAATTTGTAAGGTGATCCCAACAAGCAGAAATGAGGGAATGGGAAGAATAAAACAGGAAATCCAGGTTGGAGTACTGAGCTGGCTAACAATATTTTTCAATAGGGCTTAGTTCTATAGAAAATTATTTGATAAAATCAATAAGGAAAACCCCAAAGAACAATTGGATGATACATTTATCTACTTATTCTCCCCTTTTTTGGTTGAGGATTGCTGCCAGAAATGTTAACACTCCTGGACTGTTTGTGCATAAGCTGAATGGATCTTTGCAGTGTTAGCAAAAGTCCAGAATTAAAAGAACAAAGAGGCACTGTGGCATGTAGTTAAAAAAGAATGTTGGCATTTCACATGAAATTACCAAAACTGTGCTAAATCAGGTGGGTCAAGGGAATTAGCACAATACATCACCAGCATCATCTTCGGATTTATAGTAATACTTCCATGTCTTAATTTCACTTTTATAATTCCCATGCAGTTTCCTTGGGTCTACATTCTCATTTGCTAATTTTCTCCTTAGCTCTATCTAAACAGCTCTTCTTTCTCATAACATTGGGTCATCAGAAAAGGTATGACATATTTGTCTATGCAAAAATGTGTCATGACTTTCCCAGTGACCCAAAAGTATATTCTCATGGTTTCTAGTTTTTTTCTTTAATGCTTGACTATTTTTTCAGATTATTTTTCATTATTTCAATCTCTTAAAGTGGTAATCTGCTGTTTATTAATTCTGCTAACCATCAGTTATGGTGACTATTTTCTTATGTATTTTGCAATTTATTATTACACACCTATTTTTCAGTGAAGAATTAAGCCACCCACCCCATGCTACCCTACTGTAGGAATTCCATATTCTCTTAGAAGAGAATTGTTCTTCCAAGCACTTTATTTGATTCTGGAGCCAGGGATATTGTAAATTTAGAACCTTTTTTCTAAAGTGTGGTAAAATATATGTAACATAAAATTAACCACTTTAACCACTGGTAGGTGTACAGTTCATTGGCATTAAGTGAATTTGCGCTGTTGTGAAACCATACCCACTGTTCATCTCTATGTTTTATTTTCTTTTTTCAATTATTTATTCATGTAACTTCATTTATTGTTATTATTATTATTTAATTTGACCAGAGAGAGAGAGAAAGGGAAAGCGAGAAAGCAAGCCACTAGTTCCAGGACTAAAAAAACTCCTATATTTTTCATCATCCCAAACTGAAATTGTGCCCATTAAACCACAACTCCCTATTCCACTCTTTTCTGGCTCCTGGTAACCACTACTTTCTGTCTCTGTGAATTTGACTACTTTGGGTACCTAATATAAGTAGAATCAGATAGTATTTATTCCCTTCTGACTGGCTTATTTCACTTGGCATAGTACCATCAAGGTTCATCCATGTTGTATTATGTACCAGTGTGTCCTTCTTTTATAATACTGAATAATATTCCTTTGCATACATAATACAAATATTGTTCTTTCACAGAAAAACATTTGGGTTGTTGGGAACCAATTTTTAAGCGAGGCAAACTCGGTCTCCCTCTCCAGCAAGTAAAAATTTTCTAGACCAAATTTACTGAGCAGGTAGCTTTTCAAGAGCCCTGACTCATGCAGGGATCTCAGATCCAACTCCTGCTTCTTATGTGTGTAAGGCCTTGTCAACTGTCCCTATGAGAGTGTTAAAATCTAAACCTCTCGCCAATGAGACCAATTTCCTGGTCCTATGGCTATTTCTCAGAATCCACCCCCAGGCTCCAGGCCCCACAGCATCAGTTCTGACACTTACCACTCTGGCTTTTTATTCTCCCTTCACCCCTGGAACCTAAGGATTCCCCTTTCTTGCTTTGAAATAAATGATTTTCAACGTTGGCTCAAATTAGAAACAATTAGGGACATCTTTTTAAATCCCAGTACAACCCAGACCAATTACATTCACACCTCTGTTTTTTAATATACTATGAAAATAATAGTACAAAGGGCACCTGGATATACAAACAAATCAAAATGGCGTAGCTGAATTGTCAAAATATGACACTGGCACTTCTGCCTTTGTTAGGTAGCATCTATGTCGTTGTCCTAACAGTGGAAGAGAAGACTATGGTTTGTCATCATTTCTAGGCTGCAACCTCAATGTCGGAATAATATTATCATTTTAGCCACCTCCTTCAGCCTCCTATGTGGGAGTCTTTCTTGCGAAGCCCAAAGAGGATGCTATTAACATTCTGACATTCCATGCCAGATCTTTCAGTGGGGAATAGACCGTGTTTCAACAGCAGCAAATAAATGAGTCTGTCCAGCATATTTTCATCTTGTCACCTCCATGGAAGAACGCCATCCTTCTTTAGCCTGTACATGAGGCTTTGATTGCTGTTCAGTTACTCAGATCAACTCCAGGAAATCTACTAATGATTATAATGAGTAATAAAAATTTCTGCTATTAAAGTGTCCTGCTGCTATCAGGGCCAAGAGGCTAGACTATAAATGTTCCATTTTTGTTTTTTATATCCCTTATATAAATATACAATATATAATAATAAATATAAAATTTATATAACATAGCAAGCATACAGATTAAGTATATACTATATAATCATTATGACTATTATTGTAAACTAGTATAAGCTTAGCATTAAGTACAGAATAACAGATCCCAATACCTGAAAGGCATAATAGTTAACACTTGGCCATAGCGGCTTTAGATTTTTTTAAACAATTATTTATTTAATTTTATTTATTATCATTTTTCTTAAATTTGACCAGAGAGAGAGTGAGAAAGCAAGCCACCAAGTTTGGGACTTGAACTGTGGTTGGCCATGTGGATGTCTAGCACCTTAACCGCCATGCCAGCCCCAGCTTTAGATCTCTTTAAAGAAAAAACAAATCATTACTATTACCCTTACTGGGGCCAGCAGATGATGTAGTGGCTATGTCACACATGGCCATGGACTCCCACGTGGCCAACCATAGTTCAATTCCTGAACCCAGAAGCTTGAAACTCATGCTGGGCGTGTGTACATGAGAGCCCAAAATCCCAAGAGGAGAATGGAGGAGAAGGGATTGTGACATGGTCATCCCGCTTGGGGAGTGATTTCTCACTTTCTCTCTCTCTCTGGCAAGCACACATACCCTACGGCAAAAAAAAATCTCTCTCGAAATAAATAAATAAAATCCTTACCACACTAACCATTCATACCTGACCCAGAGGAAACTAACGTGAAGTTATGTTTACTTTTACAAATATATTTTTACTATTTCTACGTGTACATGCAGTCATAACTATCACGCAGAACTGCATGCATTTAAAACTTGTACATACAGGAACCAACAGATGATACAGTGGTTACATTGTTGGACTCCCACATGGCCTACCACGGATCGAGTCCCGGACCCAGTGGCTTGAAAACCACGCAGGGGCATGGGTGTTTTACTATTGTGGGTTTGCACACCCAAGATCCCAGGAGAAGAATGGAGGAGAAGGGATTGAGGCATGGCCATCCCCTCTGGGGAGTGATTTCTCACTTTCCCTCTCACTTTGTGTCTCTCTCTCTGGTGAGTGTGTGCACCCTAAGGCAAAAACCTCTTTTAAAAAAAAAAAAAGGAAAAAGGAAAAAAATAGTACGTGCATTCGACTGTACTGGAATGAAGGGAATACTGAACTTACTTGTGCAAATGCAGTGTCTGAATCTTCCAGTAGATGGTACTAGAGTTCCAGTTGGCAAGGGACCTGGGTTTCTGTTCTCAGAGACAAGTTTGGGACTCCTGTGGAAACACTAGTTAGTTAGCTCCTTTGCAGTTTGAGATTGTCCACCTGCAAGATACAGAAGCTGTATTATGCAACACTTAAAGCAACCCTGGAAACAATGATAACCTTGAATTCTTTCAGATATTTCCCTAGAGGGGGCACTCTGTGGAGAAAGGCACCAAGCAGAGGCCAGAAAGCCACTTCCAGTTCCCAGCAGCTTCCCTAAACAGCAGTGCAGATGTAGGCAGGCCAGTCTCTCTCTCTCTGGTCTCAATGCCATCTTCTGAGGATAAGAGAGTTGAACTAGTGCTAGCAAGATAATAAATCATTGCATCTCACTGCAAATGATTGAGTCACACTGGTCAGTCAGTAGTGGCTCCCTGGAGGTTGTTCTAAACAGGCAAAGAAAAGATTTCATAATCAACAAGCAGTAAAAGAAAACAAGAGGGACAGTGGCAGCGTGCACACCCCCAGTAGTTTGCCACCCCCAGGAGTCATTTCTGAAGACCCTCCTGCCTCTCATCCACTTCCTCCCTGCCCCTAGGCACCCCAGAGATTCACACACCAGGCCCAACAGCACATCTGGTTACAGACAGATTTCATCATTACTACAGTGGGTGTGGCCCAGGAAAGTACACCAATCTAAGATTAGACCTCGTAGGGAGCTGGCTCAGGATCAGAGAGCCCAGAGTGGAGAAACCTCACCTGGTCCTATTTGTATTGGGATCAAGCTTTGGCTTTTTTTGCTAGAAATCACCAGGCAGAGTATCCTTGTCCCCCAATCCCACACACATCCTCTACTTCCTCACTCACTAAAATTTGCCAAGAGATACAAGTCTAGAGACGGAAGTGCTGCCAACTTGAGGTGGTTCCAGGACTTCATTGTGGCCAGGGCTTTCCATAAGACAGCCAGTGTCTGTTTGGTCTAGAGAAGGGAACATGGATAGATCAGGAGGGCCAGAAGATAAACGGCATCTCTGGTCCCCCTACAGCAAACTCCAAAGGACTCAGCCAGGCGCGGCCACTCTGGTTCGGAGCTCAAGAGCCCAAGCAAGCTCTCTGACCACTCCTCCCACTGGCCCCTCCCTGACCTGCCCTCTCTCTGGCCCCAGAACCCTGGAGGAGGCCTGAAGAGGCCGTGGGAGTTTGGCTACCATTATCCGGCCCTTATCACCACTAACGTCCAGGCTGACACTGAGGCCACTTAGTTCAATGACTAGGGCCGACCTGAGGGGTCATGCCTGTCTCCAGAGAGCCAGTGCTATCTCAGTGACCTGCGGAAACCTTGGCATGAGCTCATGTTTTCTGACGACAGAGAGGACCCCTGTCACATCGCTGCCCTGCACCCCCACCCCAGCGTCTGGCGTGAGCCTGGCAAAGGCTCCACTGTTACTCACTGAAATAGCAACACTGATAACTGTAGCAGACAGAAATGCATTGATGAATTTCCATTCAGAAAAGGCCTTCTCCTGCCCTTCCCTCTGCCTTTCTGGGATCCCACTTGGATAGACACTCAGGCACACAGGGTTGGGGCTTTCTCAGGACACAGCCCCCAAACTACCCCACCTTATCCCTATCCCCATGAAGACATCATATGTCCAAAAATCCTTAGAGGTATTGAGATAATTCTTGCAAAAACGTACTTTCTCCTGGCTCATGCTGGTGGTCCAGGTAGAAGCAAACTGAACTGCAGTTTTGGAAGACACATGATGCACCATGGGTTAGAATCCCTATGTCAGCCTGAAAGTATGTGCATATACACAAGATCCTGAAGAGCTAGAGGGTGGAGGAGAGGAAATTACAGCTTGAAGAGACCCTGTCAATGTCTCGTGCTCGCCCTCTCTCTCTCTCTCTCTCTCTCTCTCTCATGTATAATCCATGAAGCCATCAAAGGAAAGTTCAAATTTGCCTAGACCAACAAATGCCTGCAAGGCAAAAGTGCTTTCTAGATTCTGTTTACATGCATCTCAAGGTACTTATTTACAATTCAGTGTTGTCTTGACAACTTGGTACTAGATATTTTAGTGCTTTAAAGAACTTTATGAATTACAGAATATGTTATTTTCAGCAGGGCAGGGGATGGATTAGTCAAATGACTGACTGTGATGGCCTATCTCTGGAGTTCATTTAATATTTATTTAATTCATGTTTAGGTAATTTCTCTCAACTAAAGAGCATTCTGTCTCAGAAGAATACTTAAAAACAGATAACTGGGGCCAGACAGTGGTGCAGAGGTAAAACTAATAATCTAGGGACCAGCAGCAGATGGCGTAATTGTTACATTGCTAGACTCCCATGTAGTTAGCCACGGTTTGAGTCCCAGACCCAGCAGCTTAAAACTCATGCTAGGCACGTGTGCATGCGTGCCCAAAATCCCAAGAGGAGAAGGGATCGCAGCAAGGCCATCTCCCCTGGGAGATGATTTCTTGCTTTCTGTCTCTCTGTCTCTCTGGCGAGTGCACACATCCTATAGCAAAAATCTCTCAAAAAAAAAACAACCCTCAATGATGTATTATGTAATCCCACATGAGAAGATTCCAGTTAAAGTCTGGAGAGCTCCCTGATTACCTTGGCCACGTGAGTATGTGTCAATGATGAAAGACTGGCCGAAGGCGAGGGGTGGATCCTAGCACCAGAACTCTGTTGGGAGTGCTAGCTCTGTCTCTGTCTCTCTCTCATGAAAGAAACATATAAATAAACATTTAAAAAAAGAGGCTTCCTGTAACAATTTGGGTCAGGGATAAGGTGGCTAGATCCCATACAGCCAACTGTGCAGTTTAAGACCTGAACTTGGCGGCTTAAGAAACACACCAGGCACATGTACATGCATGCTCAAAATCCCGAAGAGGGAGAGAGAGGAGAAGGGATAGCAGTGTGACCACTCCTCAGGGAGGGTGCTTTTTCACCTCTCTGTCTCTCTGTCTCTCTCTCTCTAGTGAGCTCACATGCCATCTGGCAAAAATGTTTAAAAAAGAAAACACAGATAACTGATTGTAGTTTTCAAAAGACAGTTTTTGTGACTTCTACTGAGATGTCTAAAACTAAAAGTGTTATGTCTTCATCTTTAACGTTTTTGGATAATATAATTCCCATAGTTTTTCATATTACTTCATGTACAGCTGTATGTGTTACCTATTGATGCATACCAAACCATCACTAATGTAGATGCGTAAGCATAGAGGCTTAAAACAACTTATTTATTTATTTATTTATTTATTTATTTATTTTTCGTTTTTGTTATAGTGCATGTGTGCTTGCCAGAGAGAGACAGAGAGAAAGAGAGAGATAGAAAGTGAGAAATCACCCCGGGGGGGAGGCACACTGCAATCCCTTTTCCTCTATTCTCCTCTCAGGATTTTGGACATGCATACACATGAACCTGTTGTGATTTCCAAGCCTCCAAGTCCAGGATTCAAACCACAGGGCCAGCTATGTGGGATCCAGTGCCTTAACCTTCATGCCACCTGCTGGTGCAAAGCTATATATTTATTATCTCGCTGTTTTTGTGGGTTAAGAATCCAAGCACAATAGCTGGATCCTCTGCTTCAGTATCCCTCACAAACTACAATCAAGTCATCATCCAGAGCTGGAGACTCCAACTGGGGAAGGAATCACTTCCAAGCTTACATGATGGTGGGAAGAATCTGTTCCCTTCTGAGATGTTGGGCTGAAGACCTCAGCTTCTAGTCAGCTATTGGCCTGAGGCCAACATATTCTTGCCAAATTTGCTTGACTGAAGTTGCAAGGAGGTGTCTGCTAGCAAGGCAAAAGTTAGAACCTTTGTAGTCTAAGCACAAAAAATGGCATTCTCCCTATGTTGAAGAGAATTGCTCGAGAACCATAGCAGGACATGGGACAAGAGGACAAGCAAATGATGCTGACAGGGTCTGGAGATCCCAAGGAGGAGGAAGAGGAAGAATTAGTGGTTCCCCTAACAACAGTGAGAGAGCACCTGGAGGAACTGGAGAAGTGTGTAAAGGCCCGGGAATGGCTGGAGTTCTGTGATGAGTGTGTATCCTCCTGGTCACACGCAGAAGAGGTTTACACAGAGGAGCTCTTTGATTGATGCACGCAGGGACCACTGCGTGGCCCACAAACTCTGCAACAGCTTGAAATAAACATGCAGACGCAATCATAATCGCTCAGTCTTCATCATCTGGGCATCAGGTATTTCCTTATGGTTTTGAACATGCCATTTGTATTTAACTTGTGTAACTATAAATTCATATGGACCGCATGGATTTTGGCCTAGGCAATAACTACTATATAATTAGCAATGATTCCATCTTAATAAAGTCCTGTGAGCTGCAAAAAAAAAAAAAAAAAAGAAAAAGAAAAGAAAGAGAAGAAAGAAAGAAAAAGAGAGAAGAAAGAAAAAGAAACAAAGAAAGATAGAGAAAGAAAGCAAGAAAGAAAGAAAGAAAGAGAAAGAACAGAAACAAATTGCTCAAGGGGAAGGCATTATACAGGGTGTGAATCTGAATACCAGAAAGAGGATCGCCTTCTGAGGATCAACTCAGAAGCTGTTTACCACACCACCCTTGAGTAGGATCTCATACATAGACTGAGGCACAGCCCCAGGAAATGCTCACCTCCTCCCCACCTAGAGGACACTGTTTCAAAGTCAGACAAGGCCTGTAAGACTCAGGTTCTATTACATCATCACTGAGTGACCTTGAACAGAGTACTTAATTTCCCTAGATCCTAGTTTCCTAATCTGTTAATTGGGATATAAATATTCTCTAAGAGTTTATGTAAACTAACATCCAGCTAGTATGTACCAACACAGGCTTACCAGTTCTTGGAATACTGAAATACTTCCAACCCAATTGGTAAAGTCTTGTTTCTCTAGCTTCCTGGGTGTCCCTGGGCCACCCTAGTATTTCTTATCCTTCTCTCCAGATTTTCTTGAACCCCACACTCTTCGGAAACTACAGGAATAACATCTGGCACAGCAGCAGGCCTCTGGACTCTGCTCCAGTGCCAAAGAGGCCCCTTCTAGTTCATCCCATCTTGA